TGTATAATAACTGATCATTTATCGTTATTATTTATTAAGTTTTATAAGAATTATTTTAAAAAATCTATTAAAAAATCTATTATTTAACTTTAAATAAGACTTGGCGCACACATATTTCGAAGCAAATGCTCAGAGTTTATCACATGATTTTGGAAATTGTTATAGAGCATAAGAAAATTCGACTTTTAAAATGTTCTAACTCCCGTTCTAGCAAAGCAAATTTAATTTTACAACTTGCAAATGATAATAAAATAGTATAATTTTAAATTTATGTGTCCATATTTTATATTAATATGTGAATTTTAGAGATCTCTGTAGTTAAACATACAAATAACGAATATTTTACTATGAAAATTTATTTATAATTTTAGATAAATTAATACAATAAATTAGAAAATATCTTCACATAGATTTAAAGCTATGCTATTAATATACCATTTACAAGTTACAGAATTAAATTTTCTTTATTAGAACAATAGTTAGAACATTTTAAAAATGCACAATGTAAATTTTTTCAAAAAATCTTAGTGCGCCAATCATACAGTGCTGCACTATGTTTGTAAATCATATAGAGTCTTATAAATACGGAGACTATCGGAATAAAATATAATTTACTTCACTGGTAACTTACTGGTAACTTACAATTTTGGTAACTTATAAATTACCGTAATTTTACAATCTTGTCTATATGGTCTATATGTAAGTTACACTAACTTGATGTTGAGCAAACGGAGAAAAAAACTATTAAGGTAGGTGCTGAATGCGGTATCATTCGGTCACTACTAGGATTGGGAGTAGGAATGGCTAGTTTCAATTAAGATTTACTTATAACAGATAATACGTAGCGGTAGGATTTCAAAATTAACTAATTTCCAAAATAAGTAGAAATACATAAAAAAAAAATCGTATTTGTACGCTTAATACGTATAAAATAGAATTTATACGTGGATCGCTTATTTTTTTGCATATCCAATTTTTAATTTTAATACTAATACGTATATTTATTTTATTACTGTATACGTACAATAAATCAAATATCGATATGTAAAACAATTTAAAGTTTTATTAACATTAAAAACAAAGTAGATTTACATATTACATAAAATATTTAATTTTAAAAAAAAAATTATTGTCAAAAATAGCCTTATTTTTTACTACGTATAAACTAGACATTTTAAAAAAAATATATATATATATTACGCCGTTTATTAGTTTAAACAATGGAATTTAATTTAATATATATGATACGTATCTAAATTTTTTTTTTTTTTATAAATACAGAAATACATATTTTAATAATAATTTAATATGGATCAAATGACGAATTAATGTCGATATATGGGACCCCAACAGCAAAAGGAAGGGGATGGGACAAAAAAAATTTTTTTTTTTTTTTTTTTAAAAAAAAAAGAATTCATATGAATTAGACTAATTAACATAAAATTAAAATTTTTATTTTTTTGTCCCATCCCCTCCTTTTGCTATGGGAGGTCCCATGTGTCAAAAAATCAGACATTAATGATCATCATGTGACTTAGCTATTCAGTTTAATTGCAAAAAATATACACAAAAAATTTGTATATAATTAGAGTTAGGCAATTGTTTCAAATTTTATATTTACATAAAATAACAATGGCATAATTATGTGATCGACTGAAGTTGACTTTTGAATCGATGCAAAAAAATCGAATCAAAGCCAGTCGAGTTAAGTCGTCAGCATACTTATATGACCCTATAATATTAGGTTTTGTCCTCACACCTAAGATTCGTCTTTATTTGAATTTAAATGACTTCCTTTTTTTTACCAGGGGGGTTTCATTTGTCACCAAGGATTTCGTACTTCGTCCCTTCCCGAGTTTAGGTTTCATCTTTTCGCATTTACATAAAATAACTTTGCCTATCAACTATATGTTCCCCATCTTTTGTGATCTTCGACGAGATGCTTCTAACTCTTCTGCATAATCTGGATCTAGATCATCTTCATCAGGAAATTCAATTATTATTTCATTAGATATAACATTTTTCGTCGATTCTACTGGTATTGGGGGTAATGGTATTGTCGGTGGTGGGCGAGAAGGTGGTGGAAGTTGATTTACATGATACATGGAATTGGATGAATGGCTCGAAGAACGTGTTGGAGATTTCATTGATGTATCTTTGGAAATTCGTGGCGTTATTTGAGGTAATCTAGGGACCGAATTTTGGGTCATTGTAGACTTTGGTCTAGGAGGGGGTAAAGGTAAAGGGATACTCGGTGGTAGATGTATTGGTACTCTATATAGAGAACGAGGTGGTGGCGGTAATGATGTCCCCACAAGAATGTTATGCTTATTAAGTGTTGAAGAAGATGTTGAAGTCTTAAAAAGACTTGTTGGCATCATTATCGGAATACTTTGTCGAATACTATTTCTTTCATCCGTTCTTCTAGTAGGCGGAATAAGACGTTGCTGACGAAATTGTGTATTCGTATTTATTGACAACTTTGTATTAATAGGTCCTGAGTCTGTTCTTAAATGTGATGAATGCTGAGAATCATTGGGATCAGTGGATATTAAGTGCTCATTTGATATAACTTGCCCATATCTCGTCCTTGGTGGTGACAAAGTTGAAACTGGTGAAGAACTACGTGGTGGATGTACTAATTTCTTTGGAGAACCAATAAATTCATCTACATCCCCATTCACAATAAGGTGAGGTGACAATGGATGAGTTGATGATGAAAAAGTCGAAGTAGGAGAAGGAGAACGAGATGTTGAAGATTTCGATCGGGGTGGTGGAGGAGTCGGTCTCGGTGGAGGAGGTAAAGAAATCTGTTCAATTATTTTATTATTATTATTTCCTTCTGATGATTTCTCTACTGTATGTGAAATTTCCATTGAAGCTTTTGGAGTCACAAATATATCATCACCTTCATCTTCATCATCAATAGTTTTTAAAGGAACATTAGGAACATCGGGTAATTCTTGATCTCTATATTTACATTTTATCACG